AGCCGTACTTTTTTATTTTGCATAGCATGTCAACTACAATTTTTTTTATGACTCAGGTGTCCAATTTTCGTCCGACTAATCCTGAGGAGTGGCGGCCTTCCCCTTGGTTCGTCAACCGTGTTAATCTAGATGCGATTATAGTTTATACACACTTGGCCGGACATTCGACAGTTCTCCTCCCTGTGGACTTTCGTCTTCCAACATAGATGTTGCCTTCCAATATAAATGTTGCCTTCCAGCTGCCGTAGAGATTCGAACATTCGATGCTCCGTAGAGAACCCTCATACTTTACCACTGCGCCATGCTCGTGGGGGCATTTCAACTATAATTTTGTATGGCTAATAGGTGTTTATTTAAATATACTGATGTTAGATTCTCTTGGCTTGTCTGTCGAGTTGAACTGGGTCAAAGCTACTCTATATACCTAAGAGCTATTAATAAGGCTAAACGTCTAGGCTAGGGTGGCCGTATCCGTTTTGGTCTGTCCTCACTATTGCCTGTCCAACTTACACATGTCTTCAGGGGCAGATCTAGGCACGGGCTGGTCCTGACTACAGCCTGTGCTTGATCTAGCCCAGATCCACTAGGTCCTTAGTTTTTTTTTTTTTTTTAAGTTGAGCCCATGTTTATTTAATCATCAGCCCATGTCCAACCAAGAAAACAATAGCCCAACTATTTAGGCCCAAATCAAAATTATTAACCCAAAACAAAATTAAATTCATTGGGCCAAATCCCCAAACCTAAACCTAATATCTATCTAATGATTCTAATCAGTCATGGTAATTTGGTCAAATAGGCTGTTTCATAATATAAATTGGAATTTTAGCCTTTGACCAGAATTATATTTTGAAAATAAATATTTTAAATCATAATTTTTAAACTACCTAATCTACCCTCATTCAACAACACGTAAGTTCCCATTTTCTCACATCAATTGAATCCCCAAAACCCTATCTTCTATCTTTCCCCAAATCATTCATATCTGCATTTCTTTCTCCAATCAGTTCCTCACCGTTCCTCTTTGCATTTCTTTCCTCAAACTGTTCGTCTCTGCATTCGGTTGCCTTGGTCCTGGCCGTCCGATTCTTCTCAGCATTTCTTTCCCCAAACCAAGTCTCTGTCAACTCACTGTATTGCAAGTACAATGATGTCGTCAAACTTCAAAATTCGGGAAGACTTGAATGAGGAAGATGGAGAAAAGGGGTCGGGGACCGCGTCAACGTGTGGTCATAATGGAGCCAAAGGGGGATTTTTTTTACAAAAACTAAATTAGAAAAATGGCATTGATTAAAACGTACATGCGCTATCCAAAACAGCAATCAACTGAATCAGTGTGGGGGCTAATGAACGAAAGTGATGCGAATTGAACACTAAATTAGAAAAATGGCGGTCATACGATTAAAACGTCCATGCACCACTTTAGGTATCCAAAACAGCAATCAACTGAATCAGTAGATCTCAATACTAAATTCGTAGAAACGTCAGCTATGCGTTTAAAACGACAACATGCCGTTTTGGGTCAAAATGTCTCGACTTGTGGGGTTGAATGAACGAAAGAGATGCGAGTTGAACACTGAACTAGAAAAATCGCAATCATACGATTAAAACGGGTCAAAAGATCTCGACTTGTGGGCTGAATGAACGAAAATTCTGAATGAACGAAAGTGACCGAACTAGAAAAATCGCAATCATACGATTAAAACGTCCATACGCCATTTTAGGTATTCAAAACAGTAAAACAGCAATCGTGAAGACTAAATTCGTAGAAATGTCAGCTATGCGTTTAAAACGGCAACATGTCGTTTTGGGTCACAAGGTCTCGGGGGGCTGAATGAACGAAAGTTATGCGAATTGAATACTGAATTAGAAAAGTGGTAGTTATACATTAAAATGTCCATGCGCCATTTTAGGTATCCAAAACAGTGATCAGCTGAATCAGTACAACTGACCACTAAATTCGTAGAAACGTCAACTATGCGTTCAAAAAGACGAGATGTCGTTTTGGGTCACAAAGTCTCGACTTGTGGGGCTGAATGAATGAAAGTGATGCAAAGTGATGCGAATTCAACACTGAATTAGAAAAATGGCAATCATACGATTAAAATGTCCATGCCCCATTTTAGGTATCCAAAACAGCAATCAGCTGAATGCGTAGAAACGTCCTCTATGCGTTTAAAACGACGACATGCCTTTTTGGGTCACAAGGTCTCGACTTGTGGGTTGAATGAACGAAAATGATGCGAATTGAACACTAAATTAGAAAAATGGCAGTCATACGATTAAAACGTCCATGCGCCAATTTAGGTATCAAAAACAGCAATCAGCTGAAAAGAACACTAAAATNNCACTAAATTCGTAGAAACGTCAGCTATACGTTTAAAACAGTGACATGCCGTTTTGGATCACAAGGTCTCGACTTGTGGGGGCTGAATGAACGAAAGTGACGTGAATTCCACACTGAATTAGAAAAATGGTAGTCATACGATTAAAACGTTCATGCACCATTTTAGGTATTCAAAACAGCAATCAGCTGAATCATTCAGCGGAACTGAACACTAAATGCGTAGAAACGTCAGCTATGCGTTTAAAATGATGACATGCCGTTTTGGGTCACTTGTGGGAGCTGAATGAATGAAAAATGAATGAAAGTGATGCGAATTGACATTGAATTAGAAAAATTGCAGTCATACAATTAAAATGTCCATGCGCCGTTTCAAGTATCCAAAACAGCAATCAGCTATATCAGAAGAACTGACCACTAAATGCGTAGAAATGTCAACTATGCGTTTAAAAAGTTTCACCGTCCAAATACCTTTTAAACCCTAAACCCTAAACTGCGACCCTCCGTTTAAAATGATCAGGTGCCGTTTGGGGTCATGGGGTATCTTTTTCACTCCGAAACTAATACAACAATGTTTGAAACATCATATATCACTCATACACATTGAATGACTACACGTATTATGGGTATCGATTCACTCCGAAATCAGTGAAATATGCTTTGAACCATCATACATGACTGGACACATTGACCAAGTATAGGGTAGTTTTCAAATCCGGCCATGGGCTGATCAAATGTGTGGACCTTAACGTCGAAAAGTAGTTAAAACCTTCATCCAACCACTTTGATATGGTTATAAGCGCGAATGAAACGAAAGGAAGGCTGAATGAGCTGAAACGTCAACTGGACGTTCAACACTACCAGATGCCATTTTGAGTCACGACGTATCGATTTCACTCCGAAACTAGTAAAAGAGTATTCGAAACATCATGCATGATTCACTATCATTGGACAATTGCATGCGCCATGCTTTAGATACCATACTTGCTACTTACGTTTTTCTTTTGTTGCTCAGTGTAGGGTAATTTCCAAGCCTGGCAATGGACGGATCAAATGTGTGGAAAAGTAGTTAAAACCATCAACCGGGCACTTTTATGTTGTTACGGATGCAAATGAACCGAAATGAACGCTGAACAAGCATAAACGTCATCTGTACGTTTAAAACGACCAGTTGCTATTTTGGGTCACGGGGTATTGATTTCACTCCGGAACTAGTAAAATAGTATTCGGAACATCATGTATGACTTACTATCATTGGACGGACTGCACACGCCATACTTTAGATACCATACTTGCTACTTATGTTTTTCTTTTGTTGCCAAGTGTAGGGTAGTTTCCAAGCCTATCCATGGACTGATCAAATGTGTGGAAAAGTAGTTAAAACCATCAATCGGGCACTTTTACGTTGTTACAGGCGCGAATGAACCGAACGCTGAACGAGCATAAACATCATCTGTACGTTTAAAACCACCAGTTGTCATTTTAGGTCATGGGGTATCGATTTCACTCCAGAACTAGTAAAACAGTATTCGAACATCATGCATGACTCACTATCATTGGACGGACTGCACGGGCCCTGCTTTAGATACCATTCTTGCTACTTACTTTTTTCTTTTGTAGCTTAGTGTAGGGCAGTTTCCAAGCGTACCATGGACTGATCAAATGTGTGGAAAAGTAGTTAAAATCATCAACTGGACACTTTTACGTTGTTATGGGCGCGAATGAACCGAAATGAATGCTGAACGAGCATAAACGCCATCTGTACATTTAAAACCACCAGTTGCCATTTTGGGTCATGGGGTATCGATTTCACTTGGCTCGAATAAATCG